GTCGGAGAAGATGAAGTTATGGTTATAAATGCTCTACATTTGCTCGATATTCTCGTAATATAATCGTATTTTAATGATCTGCTAATGTTAATATGCTAAGCTAACTGACTCTGTTTGTTATCAAACTGCAGAGCGGCGGTTGGTGACTCGCCGTCTCCATGGTTACCCAGCAGGCCGCGCGGCCCACAGTTACCACAGAAAGTCCAGAAAAACTATTTTTACACTTAAAATATTCCGATTTCACTGACAAATTACTGAAAACGGCAAAAAGAGAAACGTATTTATCTCTGTGTTCAATGAGAATACGACGAGACTCAAATTAGCGTCCTATTCGCCAGCTTCTTGTTCCAATTTTCCCGTTCCACCTTAAATGGTGCGGCAGTTAACTTCCAGTTAAGGTGGAACGGGAAAATTCTAACGAGAAGCGGACTTCATCTTCGTATTCTCCCAAATGTAACTGCTGCACCATTTAAGGTGGAACGGGAAATTCGAATGGGAAGCTGACTTCAGCTTCATATTCTTTAAAATGTACCTGCTGTACCATTTAAGGTGGAACGGGAAAATTCGAATAGGAAGCTGACTTCATCTTCGTATTCTCCAGAATGTACCTGCTGCACCATTTAAGGTGGAACGGGAAAATTCGAATAGGAAGCGGACTTCAGCGTCATATTCTTCAAAATGTAACTGCTGCACCATTTAAGGTGGAACGGGAAAGTTGCGTAGGAAGCTGACCTCAGCTTCGTATTCGCCAGAATATAAATGATGCACCGACTTAAGGTGGAACGGGAAAATGTAAATAGGAAAAGGACTTCAGCTTTGTACTCGCCAGAATGTAACTACTGCATTGTTTAAGGTGGAACGGGAAAATTTGAACAAAAAGCTGGCGAATAAGAAGGAAAATAGACAGTAGTTATCACACTGTTCTGTTATAAGCTCAGGGCAAATTATATATCATATCATTTTAATTAGCCAGGGGACGGATTAACTAACTAACTAATTGATTAATTAAAACAGTTACAGAGACAGTGAAATAACCTGACACAGACAAATATCAAGAAAATAAAGGAGATGAGAGAATCTAGGTATGATATTATAACACAGACTATTTACACAAAAATGCCAAAATCAGAACAAGTTCCAGGTTTTTACAGCTTTTTATTGCAGTTATTAGAGGCAGAAGAAGATTTCAAATAACGCTCCATATCTTTGACACGTTTATTTAGAGTAATTTGCCAATTAAATAATTAGATTACATAAAAACTCAAGTTGTAAACCCAAATAAAGTTCAAATTGACTATAAATAAAGTCCAAGATAAAGCTACAAATATTTTGCCATGTTCTTCTAGTGTGGCCAGGGAGCCAAAACAGATGATAAAGGGTTTATAAGCCACAAAATCTACGGTTTATATCAGGGAGCAAAAGGAAACTAAACTGTGTTTAGTGGAAATACACCTCCCTGAGCACATTCATGTGATGATGACGTGATAAAATGTGATGGCCGTTGTAGCTGCTGAGTGTTTACTCCGCTCACAGCACTCAGGAATAACTCTGATTCACATGTTTACTCAATAACTGTTTGTTAAACAGATATTAAGTTTTAAAACTTTTGAAAAGCAGTTAAATTCCCACGATGCTTGGAGAGAGAGACTCTTATGAAGGGCTCAGGGTTGCCAGGTTGACAAATCCCACCCCTGCTCTACAACCCTGGTCACAATAATCCAGCACAAATGAATTTAACTCAAAGGAGAATTCCACCAATTTTTCAAAAATGTTCTGCATAACTCGGTGTGTGAGGTGTATTCAGAGAGATTCAGAGTGGTTTGGTGTGAAATGGTGTCTTTACAGTGGTGGTGATAGGAACCAGGGGTCGGTGATTCGCCGTCTCCATGGTTACCCAGCAGGCCGCGCGGCCCACAGTTACCACAGAAAGTCCAAAAAAACTATTTTTACACTTAAAATATTTCACTGACAAATTACTAAAAAAGGCAAAAAGAGAAACGTATTTATCTCTGTGTTCAATGAGAATACGACGAGACTCAAATTAGCGTCCTATTCGCCAGCTTCTTGTTCCAATTTTCCCGTTCCACCTTAAATGGTGCGGCAGTTAACTCCCATTTAAGGTGGAACGGGAAAATTCGAATAGGCAGCTGACTTCAGCTTTGTATTTAAAAAGGGGAGGGACGGATTAACTAATTGATTGATTAATTAAAGTTACAGAAACAGGGAAATCACCTGACACAGACAAATAACAAGACAATAAAGGAGATGAGAGAGTCTAGATATGATATTATAAAACAGATTATTTACACAAAAAAATGCCAAAATCAGAACAAGTTCCAGGTTTTTACAGCTTTTTTAGTTCAATTATTAGAGGCAGATGAAGATTTCAAATAACGCTCAATATCTTTGACACATATATAGTAATTTGTCAATTAAATAATTAGATTACATAAAAATATACCATTTTTATTTTACTTATTAGTCCCACAGTGGGGAAATTTCACCTCCACATTTAATCCATGATACACCACATACACACTAGTGAACACACACACTAGGGGGCAGTGAGCACACTTGCCTGGAGAGGCAGGCAGCCCTGTCCACAGCGCCCAGGGAGCAGTTGGAGGTTGGGTGTCTCACTTAAGGGCACTTCAGTCACGTACTGTCGGCTGAAGGGATCAAACCAGCAACCTTCCGGTCACAGGGCTGGTTCTTTAACTAGCCCACGACTGCCCCTATTAGCCACTTAGCAAAGAGTGAGCTGAATGACTGATTTAACTCCATCATTCAGCTCTTCCAGCTTTAGCCAGACCCTGGTTGATATCACAGTGTGAAGGACTCTAATGGTTTAACAGGTGTTCTGATTCCAGGTGGCTTCCTACTGGGATCTAAAGGTGTCCCACAGGAAACTAGTGGTCTCCAATAGTTGGTAACTGTCTCAACAATTCCCAATGGAGAGCAAAAACATCGGGCCTTTAAGCGTTCTCTTTCCTTCACACAGAAGCAGTATTATTCTGATTAATGCAGAGGGACAATTTTGTTACTATTATTAGTAGTAGTAGTAGTAGTTTTAGTAGTAGCAGTAGTAGTTTTAGTAGTAGCAGTAGTAGTTTTAGAAGCAGTAATAGTTTTAGTAGCAGTAGTAGTTTTAGTAGCAGTAGTAGTAGTAGTTTAGTAATAGCAGTAGTAGTAGTTTTAGTAGTAGTAATAGTTTAATAATAGCAGTAGTAGTAGTTTTAGTAGTAGTAGTAGTTGTTTTAGTAATAGCAGTAGTAGTAGTTTTAGTAGTAGTAGTAGTTTTAGTAATAGCAGTAGTAGTAGTAGTTTAGTAATAGCAGTAGTAGTAGTTTTAGTAGTAGTAGTAGTAGTTTTAGTAATAGCAGTAGTAGTAGTAGTTTAGTAATAGCAGTAGTAGTAGTTTTAGTAGTAGTAGTAGTAGTTTTAGTAATAGCAGTAGTAGTAGTAGTTTAGTAATAGCAGTAGTACTAGTTTTTGTAGTAGTAGTAGTTTTAGTAATAGCAGTAGTAGTAGTAGTTTAGTAATAGCAGTAGTAGTAGTTTTAGTAGTAGTAGTAGTAGTTTTAGTAGTAGTAGTTGTTTTAGTAATAGCAGTAGTAGTTATAGTAGCAGTAGTAGTAGTAGTTTTAGAAGTAGTAGTAGTAGTTTTTGTATTAGCTGTTGTAGTAGTAGTAGTGGTAGTATTAGTAGTAGTAGTTTTAGAAGTAGTAGTTTTAGTAGTAGTAGTAGTAGTTTTTGTAGTAGCTGTTGTAGTAGTAGTTTTAGAAGTAGTAGTTTTAGTAGTAGCAGTAGTAGTTTTTGTAGTAGCTGTAGTAGTAGTAGTAGTTTTAGTAGCAGTAGTAGTAGTAGTTTTAGAAGTAGTAGTAGTTTTAGTAGTAGCAGTTGTAGTAGTAGTAGTAGTGATTGCAGTAGTGGTAGTATTAGTAGTAGTAGTTTTAGTAGTAGTAGTAATTGTAGTAGTTTTAGTAGCAGTAGTAGTAGTTTTAGTAGTTGTAGTAGTAGTAGTAGTAGTAGTACACTCTCAAAAAAGATGGTTATTCACGGGTTCTTTAGTAAAGAAAATGGTTCTGTATAGAACCATGAACACTCAAAGAACTATTTGCATGATTAAATGGTTCTTTGCATGGTGATATGGTTCTTCATATTAGTTGGAGAATCTGTTGTATATGGTTCTGTATAGCATCAAAAGGGTTACAAGCTTAACAGCAGAACGCTTTTTGGTTCTATATAGAACCATATACAACACATTCTCCACCAATCTGAAGAACCACTTCACCAGAGTGCTATTTCATACTTGGATCTGTATTACTTTGTTGATTGCAATACATAAGGAGATCATGCCCCAAGCTTCAGGGAGCCAACTGATAATATTATTATTATTATTATTATTATTATTAATGATAATAATAATAATAACAATAATAATAATAATAATAATTATTATTATTATGTTTATTTTTATAACGCACTTTGTGCATTAAAAATGCAGCTCAAAATACTTCACAATACAAAGTAAAAAACAACAGAAGAAGAGATCAAAAATCAAATAAACAAATAATACATAGCAGAAAAGGGGATATATTAATAATGATTACAATTAAAAAGCACAAAGTAAAAGTAAATACAATAAAAATGCAATTAAAAAAATTAAGAGTAACAGTAATATTCCAGTAAAAAAACAAAAATTTTTTTTTTTTTTTCTCAAATAATATATATATTATTTTTCCCATCATCATTATGGATTTAGGTTGTATTAACATTTCACTTTTATTATTAGAATGTTTTTATTGTGAGAACTATTATTCTTGGTGTGACTATGATTGTATTTATGACTTTTCTTGTTTATGTATTGACTCATTATCTTATCATAATCAATAAATAAAAAAGTCGATCACAAAAAAAAATAAACACATGAAATCATACAGTATATACAAAGCCACCTTTTCCCCGCACAACCTGGCAACCCGGGGAGTGGGCGTGACTGTGGCCGCTGGCTGGAGTTAAAGAGACAAAAGCGCTTTGTGTGCTTCAGAGCAGAAACGAGCCGAAAAGGGTTTAAAAATGAAGATTTCGGTCTGACGGCGGACGAACTGCCTCGCCGGGTGAGTAACAGCGCTGAGGAGGCGGGTTATTAACGCTTAAACTCCAGCAGCAGGAAAAACGTAGTTTATTAAAGGTTCTGTAACTTCAGTAACAGGTTGATTGAGCTGTTTATGAAACTCAGCCTCGGGTTAATGAGTTACAGCAGTAAAACAGTGGCTCATATCGCCTCTGTGGGTCGTTCAGTTTCTCTTTAGCTGTTAAATTAATCTATTTTGCTCATACTTCAGTTTAAACACGGGGCTCTAGTTGGTTTTTCACCTTTCTTATTCCAACTCTCCGGTCCACCTTAAATAGAGCTGCACCCACGCTCTGTACGTTCTTGCGACTGTGCAGCTGCGCCATAGTAATGCAGCAGCATTTAAGGTGGAACGGAATATTCCAACCATGGCTCATAGTCTCGGTTTCAGTGCGTGGTTTCAGTCTTGCTCTGGTGAGAAACTCGGGCAGTTTGGGTGTTTTTCTTCAGATTTAAGTGACTTTTTAATGGATTATTAACCACCACACACTTTACCCCTCACTACTGTACACTGGACACTTTAAGGTCACTTAAAGTAGTGGTCATGATATTGTTTTGACCATGTCTTTCACATACGCTCACTGTACCTTCATAAGGCGTGTTTTGTAAGTGTTCCTCTGAGCAGGGTTTCCTCAGTAATGACTTCAGCTTGATAATAACCATTTTAAGGTTGCTTTAACCCAGCTGAAGCAGAGGCCTGTGGGAGGTTCCTCAGCAGGGGCTCTTACTTAGAAGTTTATCTAACAAGAAATGATGATAAGAATGACAAGAAGTGATGAACAGGCTGGTCCCCTGGAAAAACATCTCTCAGTGCTGGATCTGAAAGACAAAAACCATTACAGATCTAGTAAAAGTTGATTTAAAGGGGAAGTCCACCGATTTTTGAGATTTTTTTAGATGTCTTTACAGTGGTGGTGATAGGAACCAGGGGTCGCCATGACTACAACACATATATAGACATTTTATTTACTATCCAGAACCACCAGTGAACCTACACGAGTCTTCTGAGTTTATATGGAATGTTGATGATGGAAAATAGTGGAAAATCTGAAATAATAAGTTTTCTTTGGGGACTATTTTGCCTCACAGCGCCCTGCATGTATCCCTCCACCATGAATGGAGTTTAAGTTCTCTAAACTATCATAAAACAGTGTCTCAGTCATCAGGCAGTGAATTCATAACCATTTCATGTAGGAACTTTCTGTGAGGGAGCTTTTAGAGGTGGACGTCTGGTTCCTATCACCACCACTGTGAACAGTTCTGACTCGGTAAGGTTCTCTAGAACGTTTACACCTTAACCACTTGATCATGTAGCAGTTTTGGTGGAGCTTCCCCTTTAGTTGTTAAGTAAATGTTATAGATTGGTCTTAATGAACAGTCCTAAGAAGTTCTTCTGTGGCTCAGAGCTGTAGGCTCCTGCTTGTTTGTAGGTGAAGTTAATGACACCCTGAGATCAGTGGGTAACAGAGAGCTTCTGAAAGGGGTCGAAGAAAACTAGCCACTGATTGACCCTCCCACTGACCGCAGCTCACACAGTGAGGTGGATCTGGGCCTCAGGAAGCCACACATGCAGCCCTTCACAACATTTCCCCACCAAATCTGGAGTGTTTTGTCTTTTTTCCCAAGATTGGACAGTAGCTAACCTCTGTCCGTGTAAAAGGGCGACTGCCTCCACCTGCTCATGCTCTTCGTCTGAAGTCATCTTTCCAAGAAAGCCGTCTGTCACTCATAGTGGGCGTGGGAGTGAGTCTGCTTCTCTCCCTCAAAGTGAGAGTTTGGCCAAAAACACAGCTCAGTCAATCAGCTGAGACATGTCTGGTGCTTACACTGCAAAACAATGATGTTCACAAGTGAACACATCTCAAATCTAGTCAACATGTCTAATATCTCTCATTGTGAGGCTGTTGTAAGAACAGTATAATATGATTTAATTTATTTGTGCGGATGGTTTCACTTGTTTTATGTTATCTTGTCTTATTTGATTCCATTGGCAGATCATTTAAGCCTCATTTGTTGAGAAAATTCAAAATTACCTGTAGTACAAGAAAAATAATCTGCCAGTGAACTTTGAAAGTGAAGACACTTTTACCAGATTAAATTATTTAAAACAAGCAAAATGTATAGAAACAGTTGGAATATTTTTATAGCAGTCTTATATTGAGAAATATTAGATATGTCGACTACATTTAAGATGTTTTTACTCACTAAGATATCATTTTTACAGTGCATTTAGGTTTGAACTGATTAGCATGGTGCTAACTGCATGGTTTAATCACCACATCGCAAACTACGTTGAGTTGTTAAAGATTAATTCTGCCGATTTTTCCAAATTCCTGCATAGATAAACTGGTTAAGATGTAATCAGAGTGGTTCAGAGTGGTTCAGAGCGGTTCAGAGTGGTTTGGTGTGAAACGCTCTGTTCTAGATAAACTTACTGAGTCAGAACTGTTCACAGTGGTGGTGATAGGAACCAGACGTCCACCTCTAAAAGCTCCCTCACAGAAAGTTCCTACATGAAATGGTTATGAATTCACTGCCTGATGACTGAGACACTGTTTTATGATAGTTTAGAGAACTTAAACTCCATTCATGGTGGAGGGATACATGCAGGGCGCTGTGAGGCAAAATAGTCCCCAAAGAAAACTTATTATTTCAGATTTTCCACTATTTTCATCATCAACATTCCATATAAACTCAGAAGACTCGTGTAGGTTCACTGGTGGTTCTGGATAGTAAATAAAATGTCTATATTTGTGTTGTAGTCATGGCGACCCCTGGTTCCTATCACCACCACTGTAAAGACATCTGAACCATTTCACACCAAACCACTCTGAACCACTCTGATTACATCTCACACACTGAATTATGGGGGATTTTTGAAAAATGAATGGAATGTCCCTTTACATAATCCTGAATTAGGGATATGGAGCAGATATCTAATTTGTTTACACTACTGTTTAGGAGTTTGCAATCACAATTCATATTTATAATTGTTATTCAATAATAACAGACAGCCTGTAGTGTTTTAAGCTAATCACCAAAAAATAAACCAGAATGTAAAAGTTATGAAAAAAGTTAGAAAAAAATTAGTCGTGCAAAAAATTATGCACCTCAGTCAGATGACGTTTTTTAAGTGTAAATAAATCAACTCATCCTCTAGAGAGACACACTTCTGCACATTTTAATACACAATTACTGTTTATTTACATTGTATAAAAGCATACAATTTGGCCTTTACAAAGATATGGCACATTAATATTATGTTGTTTTTTTTTAATTATGTGATAAAATGTGCAGAAATATGTTATATTTACGTTTGTCTGCTGTTTAGGATGTGTAAACCCATTTTCACTTAGAAAATCATCAACAGAACGTGTCAAAAAACCTGAGGGCCAAAATATTATTCACAAATTATCAAAAATACTGACTTATCAAAATATCTGTGTGTAGAATCAGAGCTCTCTGTGATCGACTGTGTTTCCTATCACTGAGTAGAAGATGCACAAGCCTTCTGTTACTGTCAGACTGATCAAAGCAGTTTGGATTGATAAGCACTTATAACAAATAATTAAACTGTTTAAGAGTCACAATAAAACACGACTAATGTATTAATTATATTCATATTTATGAGAAAAACTAAACAGAAATCTATAAATTTTCAGTTCTGTGAGATCGTATATCAGATAATCACAGCGACCTCATTCAGAAATCTCTGTATTAAAGGAGAAAATCTATTCGATCATCATAATCAGCCGTTATTGATCCTCCTTAAAGGGTTAACATGTCCTGATCTGCTGAATCTGCTCTGATGTGAAGTCGGTGCTGTGAGACTCGGAGCTGCAGCTGCTTTAGTGTCTCTCCTGAATATTTACTGTGATGTTCTGCTGTTTTTCAGGTCTGTTTATATTAAATTCATTACAGTTTTGAAATATGAGGCTCGTTTTCTGCGTCTCTCGATGAAAAAGTTCAAATTTCCGTCTAAACCTGCGGCTCTCAGTGTCAGTCTGAGCTTTACGGCTCAGTCTGGACTAAATGTGGTCAGTAAGTGAAGCTGCAGGTCAGTCAGAGAGGAAAGGCTCTTAAACTTTAGCTAACATCGTTACCGCAGTGCAGCGTTACACTGTAATCTTACAGCACTGCTGCCCCCATCAGGTGAGAGGAAGAACTGCAGCACAACTGCATGTTTGATTCCAACGAGAGTAAAATTAGTCCCACTTAATTGGATTTAGTGCAGCACAGTGTGAGAAATGAAATAAAAATCATTGTAAATCATTGTAAATCATTGTCTCATAGTTTTGATAGAATTTTTTAAAAATGTGCCACTCTTTCAACTGTTCTGGCTTATCAGGACATAGTCTGGAAAAAACATAAATATCGTGAAATATCACGTATCATGAAAAGTTCATAAAGTATCATGATACTTAAAAGTACATTTGTCATATCGCCCAGCTCTAATGTTGGTTTAATGTTGTTCCAGTGTTTTGAGACGCAGTAACCGAACAAGTGAATGAGTTACAGTGTGTGCAAACATTAGGCAGCTGGTTGAATTCTCTCCAGCTCACGTGTGCTGGACTGTTTACGTTTCGGCAGAAGGGCGAGCGAGGCGGGTGATCTTCACTCCCTCTCTGCCCTTCAGACTGCGTGTTTTCTTGTTTTTTGTTTACAGCTCATTGAGGCGAGCAGGGATGTGTCATGTTTCATGTCCGTTGTGTGTGTGGATGGATATCCAGGCGTGCGGCGGCTCTGGCTGTTTGCTGATCCTCTGCGTGAGTAACTGAGCTGACTGGCCTGCTTTTCTTGTTCGGGCTGATAACCACCAGCCTGGGTTAGTTTTCATGCTGGTCTCTTCCTCCCATGAGTCAATCCCCTGGAGGGGCGTGGCCAGGCAGATAGAGGCGGAGCTGATCCAGCCTGGAACTGTAATGAATCCCTACTGCCTCGTTAGCATTGGACTAAGTTTTCCACTCTCTCCAGTAGCTGATCAGCTGAGACTCGTTTGGAGTCCAGATTTCGAGGGCTGGACCCGAATATTGGACCATACAGAGTTTCGTTCATTGGGTGTTCAGGTTTTAATTTTGGGATTTAGATATCCGTTTTTGTTTTGTTACGTTGTTGTTTTTTGTCTAAATGTAGGCTAATCAATAAAGGCGAACTGCAGAATACTGTAATGGCCGGGGTTTTTGGGGAAAAGTTGGACGACTTGTCTTTCGGTCCATAACGCAGTTTCATTTTTAATTTGCTGAAAAGAGTTTGTGAAGAAACACCGCCTCTCCAGCACTAACAGCTAAAAACAGGTGTCGGACATGGGCGAGGCCTTGAATATTAGCCGTTTTACTGCTGATGCGTCCTAGCCCAAAAAAAGCCATTCGGGACAGCACTACAGATACCCTGCTTTAGCTTTAGCACTGGAGCTATGAGGCTAATGTTGCTAACACAAGAAGTCGATGGACACCCAAATTTTTCCTGTAAACGGTGCAGACCCGTCGATGACCTGCTGGAAGTGCTCGTTGCAGTGTTGCGCTGTTTCTGCTAAAACAACCTCAAAGATTTCCGAGCAGCATATCTACAGCTTACCTTAATGTTCGAGCTCAATGCAGACACAACCGTATCTCAGTGTCAGGGCTTCTCGGCTGATGATGCGCAGAGGAGAAAGGGGTTTGTGCGTTAGGAGGGATAAAGGAATGAACTCGGTCATACGGAGGGAAAGAACCTTCAGCATTTCACCGCTGCTGAGTAACGTTCCACTGAAGGCGGTTCGCGCTTTAAAGTTGGTGCTGTTCTCAGCCGCTTTCAGTGGAACAGTTTTCATTCCCCTTCAAAAGCTGTCAGTATCTGAGACAGCGAGTGCTCAGCAGGGAGCAGATGTTCAGACACTGGAGCCACTGGTTGTGGAAAAATGTGCCCCCTGCTGCTCTGTGTGTGTTCACCTTTCTTTGACCATAGTTTATTGTTAGCAAGCTGCTTCAACATCTCCAGCTAACATGGCTAATGTAGCGTTTTGGTTATAGTTATTTTCACCTCCACTGATTTATCTCTCTGTAGACGTAGCTGACGTTACTGTGCTCTGATAGCTGTGAAGGAAATTTTCCACAAAGCATTTATTTAGTCTGGACTCCCACATTGTTGTGTGTTCGGATCTCCAACAGTTCTGGACTCATCCTCGAACTTCAGTCTTGGTAACTATGACAGAGATGAAGTGACACACCTCTCTGTGGTGGCTGAAGTGATATGAACACCTGTATTTCTGAGGTTAATAACTGTAAGGCAATAGCGAAACTTGTTTTACCTGATGATTATAAACTTTCATTTCCTGCAAAAAGGGCCTGTTTTGTTCCTGTGGTATGTGCATGTGGTTCCACAGACGTACAGACTTTACACATCACATTTGCGATTTCTGTTTCTTTTTATGAAGGACTGTTCATCTCTTCCCCCTCCTTGTCTTTTTCCCTCACCCCGTTCCTCGTCCACTTCATCCCCTTCCCAGCCCCCTTCTTTGGCCTGTTCCTTGTCCACTTCATCCCCTTCCCTGCCCCCTTCTTTTTCCCGTTCCTTGTCCACTTCATCTCCTTCCCAGCCCCCTTCTTTGGCCCATTCCTCATCCACTTCATCCCCTTCCCAGCCCCCTTCTTTGCCCCGTTTCTCGTCCACTTCATCTCCTTCCCAGCCCCCTTCTTTGACCCGTTCCTTGTCCACTTTGTCCTCTTTCCTATCCCCTTCTTTTTCCCGTTCCTTGTCCACTTCGTCCTCTTTCCTATTCCCTTCTTTTTCCCATTCCTCGTCCACTTCATCCCCTTCCCAGCCCCCTTCTTTGCCCCGTTCCTTGTCCACTTTGTCCTCTTTCCTATCCCCTTCTTTGTCCTGTTCCTTGTCCACTTCATCCCCTTCCTTGCCCCCTTCTTTGCCCTTTCTTGCCTCCTTCTTTGCCCCCTTTCCTTGTCCGCTTCCGTGCCCCATTCCTCGCCCCCTTCCTTGTGCTGTTAGGGAGTTTTGAGTCTTGGTTCTTCTCAGTGGTTCTTCCTGATGGAGAATTTAAAGAACCCCAGTGACAAGATGTGGGATGTTCCTGCAGACAGTCTGTTGCAGAGTTATAGGACTGGACCTAAGTGGGCGGTAAAAAAATTATGGAGGACATGAACTTTTTTTAATATCAGCTCACAGTGCGTGTTGGTGTGAACCTGAATGCAGATTCATGAAGGTAAATATCTTTTTTTCAAATAGAAGTTACTAAATCTGATTTTGGGGCATTAAAAGTGTTGGTCAAATAAATAGTTGCGGTTAACAATTTAATTAAATGTTCTCGTTCATTGTTTTATTACTTCTTGGAGCTCTACGGCAGTACGGTGTAATTGTTTTGGTATTTATCAGGTCCATTTATAGCCACACATCATATGTAATTTTAAGGAGCATCGGGGATATTTAGGTATGTCATTATTTGACCTGTAAAAGGTAACAGAATTGTGATATCTTTATAAATTGGGCTAATTTTTGTTCAAAAATCTCCCTTTTTTGTAAAATTTTGCTTATACAGATTTTTAAAACAAGTGTCGCCTCAGATACCTTTTCAGAAATTGTTAGTCTGGAGTGTCTGTGAGCTGAAAATGTGAGAATTTTAATAGGGGTTCATGTTATTGCTTATTATTGAATAAAGATAAAAGATTAGCATAAGGTGGACATTTTTTAAAATTGATTTTCTGTCCTTTTGGATGCATGCTGAGCGCTAAAACTGATACACAGCAAGACAGGCTTTATTTTTAATTTCAGATTGAGTTACTACCAGTGGTGGACAAAGTAGACAGATCATGTACTTGAGTTAAAGTAGAGATACCCGAGGTAAAATATTACTGCAGTAAAAGCAGAAGTTCCTCCTTTTAGACCTCCACTTGAGTAAAAGTACAAAAGTATTGACGTTGAACCGTGTGCTGCACTGGGTCGGTATGACCAACAGGTCAAAACAAGCTCAAAACAAAGTGACCGCTGTGCCCTGATTGGTCTGCTGCTTCGCGCTTCTTTCATTTTGACGTTATGTTTTTATACACACATAAACCAAAAGGAGCGACAGATTTCTCATAATGTAGTGGAGTAAAAAGTGATATTTGACTCTGAAATGTAGTGGAGTGAAAGGGAAAAGTCACCCAAAATGGAAAAACTAAAGTACAGATACACAAAAAACTACTTAAGTACAGTAACCAATTACATTTGCTTCATTACTGTCCACCACTGGTTACTACGATGAATGTCCTGACGTGTGAATCATGTCACTCTTTAAGCCTTTGTTTATAATATGAAGGCTAAAAGCAGGGAGCTAATATAACTGTAGTGACTGGATTTTGGGTGGTTTTTGGAGCTGGATTACTGGCTGATGCTCGGTCACAGCTGGATGATGGCCGGCTCGTTCGGGCCGGGTCTGCTGAGTGTTCTGATATGTGTATCGTGTCTGTAGCTTAAACCGTTCTGGAGCTGTGAAGGCGAGAAGGCAGCGCTGCAGGTTGCCTGCAGAATGTGGGCTTCAGGTTCAAGGCGTTAGCCAAATTGGCTAATTAGCCACAGTACATGCTAGCTGTGTTTACTGAGTAGCTAACGCTGGTTATACCCTCGAATCAGTACCACACACACACACACACGCACACGCACACTGTCTACAGTTATACAGAGTCGAGCTGCACATTCTTCACCAGAGTGAAAAAACACCCATTCTGCTAGCATACATGCTAAAAACATTAGCCACATAGCTAACAAATATGACTGAGCGCTGCCCTGTAAACGTTAGAGCGCCAGTTTTCTCTTCAGTTCCAATGTGCCTCAATGAATTTGAACCCAACACACTCGGGTCACTTTCTGTTCTGCAGCATAATATGACTGTGAGATTTAGCGACTGTGGAAAATGACTGCAGGTAGCTTATATAAGTGTGGTCATCTCAAATAATTTAGTCAGGTGGTGTTTATTGTCGCTTCTCAATATATTTTGGAACAAAATGTGGTTCTTCAGGCTCCAAACACACAACAGAAGCACATTACACAGAACTGCACACAGTTCAGATACACGACTGTGCAGAACACACAGTAAATACACCAGACAAGAAATACTAGACAGCACCAAAATGGGTATGATTGGGCATCATATACACTCTTAAAAAGATGCTTATTAGTAAAGACAGTGATTATATAGAGCCATGAACACTCAAAGAACCATTTGCATGTCTAAATGGTTCTTCAGATTGATGGGGAATGTATTGTACATGGTTCTGTAAAAAAACCTTTTTGAAAAGGGTTCTATATAGCATCAAAAAGGGTTCTTCTGTTACAAGCTTGACATCTTTACAATAGCAGAACCCATTTTGGTGCTATATAATAAATATATAATATATAGTAATAGTATATATATATATATATATATATAGTGAATTAGCATCAAGCAGTGCAACATTGCCACTGTAAACTGTAGTTTAGTTGTGATTAGGTGATTGTGTAATCGTTGTCACAGGCCTATGATGTGTTTCTCTCCGCTGGGTTCCTGAGCGTGAGACATATTATTTCTGTTATATGTCTGTTTATGTCATGCCTCTCTGGCTCTTTAGGCCCGTCTGCCCTGGGCTGTGGAATCTGCCAAACCTGTTTAAACTCCACAAACGGTTTCCTTCATTCTTCTGTTCTGGAGAGCCAGTTTAATGGCATTTCTGCCGCCCCACTGCTCCTCTCTGTCCTGCTCAGCTGCTTTAGTTCAGTCTGTATTCCACTGCGCTGGTCTGAAGGAGACGAGTTGCAGTTGCTCCCTGTGCACTGCTCCCTGAAAGGCAGTCATTAAAGGGGGAACTCCCATTTTCACGTCTTCTTCATGATTAAATGTATAAGGCATAAACAGAGCGGTTCAGAGTGGTTCAGAGTGGTTCAGAGGGGTTCAGAGGGGTTTGGTGTGAAACGCTCTGTTCTAGAGAAACTTACCGAGTCAGAACTGTTCACAGTGGTGGTGATAGGAACCAGACGTAATGAAATGGTAATGAATTCACTGCCTGATGACTGAGACACTGTTTTATGATAGTTTTGAGAAAAATTTGGTCTAGAATTCCAGTATTTTCCATCATCAACATTCCATATAAACTCAGAAGACTCGTGTAGGTTCACTGGTGGTTCTGGATAGTAAATAAAATGTCTATATTTGTGTTGTAGTCATGGCGACCCCTGGTTCCTGTCACCACCACTGTAAAGACATCTGAACCATTTCACACCAAACCACTCTGAATCATCTTACACACTCAGTTATGCAGAATTTTTTACCCTTTAATGTGGAAGCGTGCTGCTAACGCAGTACGGGAGCTGGTGGAAATTAGCATTATTTAGTGCTAATTTAATAAAAAAGTCAAGGTTTCTTGCATTAAACTCTGATCCTTCATGATCTGAAGGTAAAATTAAAGCGGTTTATGCAGTGAAGCGTTGTGCAGAGGTGGGTGACTGAGTCCCTGCTCAGCTGCCTGGGTACCTGTGATGAACTCAGTGGTTTCTGTCCTGCAGAGTTTCAGCCTTTCTAATCTGCCTTTTCTCTCTCGGCTCTTAGAGTGTGAATCTGCCTCTGCTGTTTGGGTCGACATGAATGTCCTTCAGTCCACGTTCATCCTGTAACTCCACCTGCTGCAGGTGAGCTGACTCGCACCTCAGAGACTGAAGACTCAGACTCGGACTCGCACCTCAGAGACTCGAGACTCGGACTCGGACTCGCACCTCAGAGACTCGAGACTCGGACTCGCACCTCAGAGACTCGAGACTCAGACTCGCATCTCAGAGACTCGAGACTCGGACTCGCACCTCAGAGACTCGAGACTCGGACTCGCACCTCAGAGACTCGAGACTCGGACTTGCACCTCAGAGACTCGAGACTCAGACTCGCATCTCAGAGACTCGAAACTCAGACTCGGACTCGCACTTCAGAGACTCGAGACTCAGACTCGCATCTCAGAAACTCGAGACCAGACTCAGACTCGCACCTCAGAGACTCGAGACTCGGACTCGCACCTCAGAGACCTCAGAAACTTGAGACCAGACTCAGACTCGCACCTCAGAGACTCAAGACTCAGCTCGGACTCACTTCTCAGAGACCCAAGACTCGGCTTAGACTTGCACTCCAGAGACACAGCTCAGACTCACTTCTCAGAGATTCTAGACTCTGGTTGGACTTGGACCTCAGAGACTCGAGACTCGATTTGGACTCAAACCCCAGAGACTCGACTCGGACTCACACTTCAGAGACTTGAGACTGTGCTGTTGTACATAAGCTGACTCAGTCTGTTTGAGGATTCACTGGATTTGCGTGCTGCTCTGACTGATTGAAATGAAGTAAACAGTTCTGAATGTGGTAAAATATGAATAGACTGGTTTTTGTTTTGTAGCTAACCGTCAGACAGAATGGACGAGACCGAACCGTTCAGGCCCAAAGTTCTTCCAGAAGATTCTGCATCACTCAGCACTAGCGTCGTTGATGGCCTCAAGATCGAAGGTAACATTGTTGTTGTTGAAAAAATCAGGATTCAGGATCGCTGCTGTTATGTTTTGGCCATGTGATGTACTTTTGTTTATTTTTGTAGCTTTGAATTGTCAGAAACACCTCCACACAGTCTGAGGCGACTGATGAGTTAGGCATCCAGTTAGCACCATGCTAATTGCTATACATAAGCTTCCATTTATTGTTAGCTACATTAGCCTCGTAGCTCCAGTGCCAAAACTAAAGAAGCAAACTTCAGACATCAAACATGTCTTGGCTGATTGACTGTGCTTAGGGTGAAGGATGTGTTATAGTGTTAATTGTGCATTTAATACCATCATTTTCTGGAACCTCGACGTGAGGTCGTGGACACTTGTATCGTGGTTTTGATCTTTGTTTCAGAATCATTACACCCCTAGTGAAGAGGGAATAAACTGGGCAAATTTGAGTTTTCATCCAAAAAAATAAGATAATGTATGAAAAAGACAGTAATTATTAGTGTGTAAACAAAAATATAACATTTATTTTCTAACCCATAAAGTCCAAATATGAAAACTATGTTGCAAAAACAACCCATTTTGAAAAGTACTTACATATATCTACCTAATTAGCCTACAGTGGTTTAGCTCCGCCCGTTCACGCTGTGGTTTCCTGAGTCTTTTATTATGTAGGTGTTATGGGCCCTTTAAAACATCGTATCCTACAGTTTTGTGTTGTTTTAGTTTCAAAACATTTGTTTGTTTTTATGTATGAAAAATGGTCATAGTTAATTTTTTAAATCTCTCTTTATCCCTTAAATTAAACAGGTTGTGCCCTTAAGACTGTAAATATGTAAATGAGCTCTGTTCTGATTGGCTGCACTGTATTTCCTGTTTATACATTCAGAAAACAGTCCAGGCTGAAACACTGGGCGGGGCTAAAACGATGTAGGCTGAATAAGCAAATATATGTAAATAAGGACTCGTGACATCACAAAAGTAGTTCAAAATGGGCTTTTTCTGCAGCGCAGTTTCCATAGATGGACTGTGAGGACTGGCGAGTGTTTAACAGTGTTTTCCATGAAATGGACCCTTTAATTCTTATGGGGCGGTTCTGGACGTGTCTGTTTTCTGTCTGTGGGCAGATGACCAGTACTCGGCTCTGAGAGAGGATCTGGAAGCTGATGCTCGGGACTTTGAGTCTCCAACGTGGACTTTAACTGTAGATCAGCAGTACGTAAAGGCTTTTACCAAAGAGGCCAAGAGGCAAGATGTCATTCATGGTGAGTGGATTCATCTCTGACCCTGTTTATATTGGATGGATGGATGGATGGATGGATGGATAGATAGATGGATCTTTATTGTCATTGTTTAGAATCAATGAAAAACCTTTTAGCAGCTCTAGAATTAACAGCAAGGACATAAACAAAAAGAAAAGAAAGATAAATAAGGCCAAAGACATAAATATAAACACAAGAAGATAGTATATACAAACATAATAGTGCAAAATGAAATGATATGTAGGGCCAGATGAAAGATATCTCAGTCTTAGCCTAGTCTCAGTCTTAGCCTAGTCTCAGTCTTAGCCTAGTCTCAGTCTTAGTCTATTCTTAATCTTAGTCTAGTCTTAGTCTTAGCCCTGGGGAGGAGAAGGTAGGGAGGAGGGACTTTTGCATCTGACTGCCTGCGGGAAGAAGCTGTTTTTTAATCTATTACTTTTTGCTCTGATTGATCTGAATCTCCAGCAAAAGTTTGGGGACACCTGTCCTTCTTATGAAGATTTCAGAGTGATGTTTGATTTTTTTTTTTTGCTGTTCTTTTTCAGTAAATTAATGAAATAAGGTCAAATAAATCCCTGTGCAAGTTTATTTGGTCTTAAACCAGATCTGTGGTGATGCTTTGTGTATATTTATCTTCAATATTTAACTTCATGTTCACCACAAACTTCATCATATTGAATCTCTTTTGGTCCAAAGGTGGTTTTAAGACCTGATAAATTTTCCGTGCTAATGAGTGACGTTACAACAAGGGGGTGACAAAACAAAGTGGCTTTATTCTTAAAAAGTCACTAATATTGGTACAGATATTTACATGTGATGTTGTTTTCCTCTAAATGAACTTAAATGGGCTTTAATACGTTAAGTTATTGAACATCAACAAAATAAAGAAACATGCTAATTTTTATTAAAGAAAATGTATGAAACACTCAGTGTCCCCAGACTTTTGACAGGAGTGTATATCAGAAATAATTTGAATATTTATTACCTGTGGTTGATGAAATCTAGCCTCTATTTTTCTTTGTGTAGTTCAGGTTGCCAAGTTGCTAAAGAAGCTAAACAAGCAAAACCAGTTAGCAAAGCCACAGGAAATCAACACTGATCAAATCTAATTCCTGAAAGTAATTAACTGTACAGTAGGTTTTGGTTTCTTTCTTCTTTTTTTCTATGACCCTGTTTACACCTGGTCATTCCATGCACATTCAGCTTCAGAATTAAATCCAGATAGAGATCCGCAAAAAACGCAAGTGTGAACGCACCCAATTCGGATTTAAAACAGAATTAAGTCTGATCGCTCAGGTCTGAGACGTGTTTTATTTAGATCTGCAAGTGTAAATGCATCTGTTTCCCCCTGCTAGTATTGTGACTCCTCCCCCTGTTCTGCATATGAGGAAAACTCCGCCCACTGCCCCCCACTAAACCGATGCCTTGCTGCACCTTCAGCAGCCTGAGCTCTTTTAAAATAAAGCTTTGGTTAACCTTAACTTTAGTTCGGTGATATTCCCACATTCCCACATTTTCCACAAGGGAGAGATATTCGCACTGAAGTAGCTTCATTGTGCATTACTGAAAGGAAGGAAACTGGCATGAACCCACACTATCAGGCTCTCACTAAGGCGCATGCTTACAGATATGTAACATATATAAAGTAAAAACAAACTATATTAAACATACATTATATACCATTGTAAACATGCAAACTGGGTGCTGATGCTGTTGTCATTGTCGTTGTTGTCAGAGTTGATCCAGACGGAAATTAACCACATGCGGACACTGAGGGTGATGTCGGGTGTCTATTTCCGTGAAGTACGGGATTCTTTGCCAAAGGACGAGGTTCAGCTGGATCGTCTATTCCCGTGCCTGGACCACCTGCTGAAGGAACACCAGAACTTCTTGAACCGACTCAAGCAGCAACGCAAGCAGTACCTGGAACCGGGGAGCCAGCAGAACTACTGTATAAGCAGGATAGGAGACGTCCTCAGGACCCAGGTACACCTAGAATTTAGGTTGAAGATGTCTTTTTGTGTCAAGCCAAAGATTTCTTACTTTTTGCAAATGAAAGTTTGATGTAGAATGTAAATCATTGAATTTTCAAAACATACCATTCACTCTGCAGTCCATACAGTCCATATATGGCAACTAAGCCTGTTTCGAATTTATCATGGTTGTAATAATGCAGCCATTTTTCTCAGACCGAGTCTGATACCATACTACTTTCAGCGAAGTAGCTATCAGTGTAAATGAGTGTAATGAACAGTTAAGTCATTAAATCTATCTGATTGTAAATGAAGTTCGTTTTCTCGCTCTGCTACATTAATGATCTCTGATTGAGCAGCGCTGCAGTGGAGAAGAGCCCATCAGAAAAGCTCTGTTCAGCTATAAATAAAGTAGGTTTCATAGTTTTGATCCTCATCTGTCTCTTTCAGCAGCAGCAGAGTGACAGCAGAAATCACATCCGAGGGTGATGCATCCGAGTAGCTCACGCTTCTGGTTTTCCGTCTTGCTGGAGTCGTTTGATTGGCTGGTTGAGCTGTAGCTGAATGTCCTCTAAAGCCAGACAGGCACTGTGTGATGTTAGAGATCTTGTTCTTTGGTGACTCTCACTGTCCGTTTGAATAGACCATCGTGTTCAGACAAAGCTACGTTTTATAAACTCACACTGTACGAAACGCTCCATCTGACTGACCTGCTACGGGAAACGCAGCCTCTACAGACGCTCTGACTCCAGACCGCTATCAATAAAGCTGATTCACTCAGAATAACCGAGTACTGAGCAACACGCTGAGACACTGAGCAGCACTGCTAACACTGAGCACTGAAGCTAAAGCAGGCGCTGATGCGGAAGATAGTTTAAATAATCATCGTGTTAATGTTCATATCGTGTAATTTTACTCAAACAGAGTAAAGTTGCATAGACAGACTTCGGTAGCAAATGTCAACTTTTTCTCCTCTGTTTTGTTGGCCTACGTGTCTCCACCCGTACTGGGGAAGTGGCTGCGATTGTGTTTGTGTGATTTAGAAGTGGGCTAAAATCTGTGTTTAAAGTAAACGGCTTGGTGTCTGACTGTGACGGAGTCAGTAACTCTTCTCTGTGTGCGCATTTGCTCATTAGCACAGCAGCTACACTCGGCTTACGGCACACGGTATCAGCTGGTATCGGTGCATTTTTATGAGATCGAGTAAATAAGTACCATATCGGACTGATACCCGATAACAGTGTCTGTATCGATGCATCTCTAATATTTATGCATGACTGATTTACACTGGTCTGCTAGAGGCAACGGATGTGCTCTCTGTAAAGGTTGCGTTAACTTATTTTCACTTAGAGAACGTTATTTTACTGAGGTTACTCAAACTTTTCCACCAACTGTAAGTACAGCATTGAGGCCTTACATGCTGAGTGCATGTCACAGTTGTTCTGAGCTGATAATGAGCTCATGCACGATTCTTCTTTCTGCTTCGTGTCACTTTCCTCTTCCGTTTATTCAGTGTGTCGTTCTGCGTGTCCTCAGGTGAGACTTTAGTTGTGTTCTGCTGAACTAGCAGTGTTTATGCTGTAAGAAGACGATTAATCCCGGTACTCAGCACTGTTTAAGCCAGTTGCTCTGGTTTGAGTCCGTCTGATCACAGGTGTGTGCGTTAGTTAGCGCTCACCTCAGAAAGATGCACGACGCCACGTTCTCCTCCACTGATCAGACTAACCAGCTCCTTCTGGCCGAAACAGAACGTGTGATGTTTGCGGTGATTATCTGTGTGTTTTTGAGGATGTTGACACTTTGCATTAAGATGTGTTTCATGATCACACCTGGCTGAACTTTGGCCAGATTCCATTCATACTTTTCACTGAAATGAGATCAAATGAGATCTTTAAAGTTTAATTAAAAGCTGATCACATTGATTTATCAGTCTACTCAGGCTTTAGCAGAGCTCAGTAACACTGAGATTAATAACTGATCACACTGATTTATCAGTCTACTCAGGCTTTAGCAGAGCTCAGTAACGCTGAGATTAATAACTGATCACACTGATTTATCAGTCTACTCAGACTTTAGCAGAGCTCAGTAACGCTGAGATTAATAACTGATCACATTGATTTATCAGTCTACTCAGGCTTTAGCAGAGCTCAGTAACACTGAGATTAATAACTGATCACATTGATTTATCAGTCTACTCAGACTTTAGCAGAGCTCAGTAACGCTGAGATTAATAACTGATCACATTGATTTATCAGTCTACTCAGACTTTAGCAGAGCTCAGTAACGCTGAGATTAATAACTGATCATCACATTGATTTAACAGTCTACTCAGGCTTTAGCAGAGCTCAGTAACGCTGAGATTAATAACTGATCACATTGATTTATCAGTCTACTCAGGCTTTATCAGAGCTCAGTAACACTGAGATTAATAACCGATCATCACATTGATTTATCAGTCTACTCAGGCTTTAGCAGAACTTTTGTAAAGAAGCTGTTTGAGTTCTTCTGTAGATTAAATCTTTACACACCATGCGCTGCTTTTGAAACAGGTAATAAGCAAGCATTAATGGTGTTTTTTTTAAAGATATATTTTTATTCAGTGGGTAAGTATTATAAAAATATTCCATATTCTAAATACAGCCTTTACCAAATTGGCTTGACTTTTCTTACGGTTGAGCGAAATCTGAACATGATCTGACCACAGAAAACACACGGTGAAGACGGTGTCAGCAGCCTCTTTGTTGGAAGGCTGTGTATAAAACATAATGCAATTTTTTAAATAAATGTGTTTATTTTTTATTTATGGACAGTGTTTATTTCTTTTGTAATCATGGACAGTTGCAGTCTGTGTTGTGTTGATTCTCTGCTGTACGTGTCTAGTTCTCAGGCGAGCTGAGGAGCCGACTGCTGGACGGGTACGGTGTCTTCTGCAGCTGCCACACAGACGCAGTGAACTACTACAAAGAGCTGCAGCAGAACAACAAGAAGTTCCAGAACTTAATGCGGGTGAGTGAAGGAGCTTCTCTCAGCTCCGGTAGGGCGTTTATTTGAGAGGATGTGTGTACGAGATTATGTGGCTGTACAGTGGTTATTTGTTGGGGTGTAACGGTACATTTAATCATGCCAAACTCTAATGGTGTGGGTGTTACTGTTTGGTGCATGCAGTCGCACAGAGAATCCACCCAGAAACCATAAGCTGTTAGCAGTTAGCGAGTTAGCAACATGCCACGCTAAGCTTAGCTCAGGGTTTGGCAACATGCGGCTCTTTTACTGCCCTGTTGTTGCTCCACAGCTGAATCAGATCTGTAGGTAAAAATAAAATAATCCTCCTTCACAGTAAAATAAAGCTCTGCTGATCGTTCAACACAGTTTAACAATAAATGGTCTTAAACTCTGGAGTTAATGTAGAACTGCTAATTCACCCTTTAACCCTGAAGATCAGCGCAGACTGCTGGTCACCATAGCAACGCAGATAACAGTCTCGCCTAGCTGGTAGCTAACGAAACGGCAAAGAGAGAGATTTAAGACGAACATCGATAATTTGGAGATGAATGGACTGATTTGTGTTTATAATCACTCCAGCTGGTTTCCTGATACGTTTAATCTGCAACGAGAAACTGAAACACTAAAAAGTCACAAAGCTGAAATCAGTTTCTCATTCGCCAGCTTCTCGTTCAAATTCTCCCATTCCACCTTTAAAAATTCGAATGAAAAGCTGCCGAATGAGAAGCGACTTTAGCCTCGTAAGAAGTTGAACGCTGAGAGACATTTTATAACAAACTGTTCTACTTTTGTGAAAAGTTTCCTGCTGGAGATGCGAGAAAAGCAGCTACAGCTGAGCTAAAAATTAAAGCAGAGCAAAGTGAGTCTCTGTTTTTGTTTATATTATATTTTTTAGTCTATACTAGAAGATCAGGACACACTGAGACACATTTACAGCCAGGATGGTAAAATGGACATAAAACGTTGTGGCTCCCAAGATAGTTTGATTTTTGTAGAAAGGACAAAATGGCTCTTAACATTTGGGTTGAGACCCCTGGCTTAGCTCGAGCTGATTGGCGTCTGACTGACAGTATGTCTGACTTAAAGGGCCGTTTCTCGGTAGAGCGAGGAGGAGCCTCCCTCTGCAGCTAGCGCCCCGTGATCCAGCCCATCAAGGGTTTATAACCGCAGCAGCGTCATCACTCCTGACCCCCGATCAGCTGAGAGGCTGAGTTTGAGGTGAACAGTGAGTGAGAGGTGAGGAAGCAGCTATCGAGGTCATTAAAGAGAGGATTTAAAGACACAGGCTGAAGTTAAAGGAGTGAAGCGAGTCTGATCTACACAGCCTGCAGTGTTTCTGCTCCTGTGAAGAGATTCAGCACGAATCATAACTGACCGCATAGATTAGTTAACGTTAGTGACCTGTTGAGTGTTAATGACCTACTACAGGTTGCACCTACTAAAGCTACCTCAGGGGGCGCTACATGACACTGCGTGGAACAAACTGTAAGTTGTGCCACTGTCTGTTCGAAATAAATGATAAGAAACCTGGTCGTATGAATTTGGGTGTTTTTGTTGCTCATTGTGCTGAACTCATACCGAACCATGACGTCCAAACCGCGATGTGAACCACACCGTGACTTCTGTGTACCGTTACACCCCTAGTTGATTGTACTAGTAAGTAGTAAATCTCATAATTTGGGGTGATTGTCCTGCTATCATTCCTGCAGGTCATTCTCAAAAATGAAAAAAGGAGGAAAAGAAGTTAAAAATGTGAGTTTATGTTTTTAGTTTTTTTTTTTCAGAAACTCGGTCAGTTGGCCATCGTGAGAAGGTTAGGAGTGCCGGAGGGGATCCTCCTCATAACACAGCGCATCACCAAATATCCAGTCCTGGTGGAGAGGCTCATTAAGAACACTGAAGGTATTTGTTTTTGTTATCATTCCTTTCCCTCACCATCAGAGGTTGTGCAGGAGGTCTCTAAGTAGTACAGCAGTAGTGAAAAATGGATCATTGCGCTACACCTGTTCCCATGGCTACGCTTAGTACTAAGCAACGTACTGGATTGTCAGGTGAACCAGCTGGATTTCTTCTTAAGTTAGTAGTTGTGTCATTTACCTTTTAAAAAGGAATGTCACAAATAATGAGCCAGTGGTATTTCAGTAGAAGGAAAAAAAATAAAGTGAAGTATAGTAGTGGGTGTTATAAATTGTCCCCATATGATGGTATAACTACAATCACTGACTCACTGTATATCACAGTATATGGTATTTATGTATGTTTTTCATCTTAAACCATATTTGATGCTTAAGTAAGCCTTCTTTGTAGGTTAACAATGGCATATTATTCTAGACGTCCCTTCACTTTTAAGAAGAACCATATTTAACAACTGAAGTGAATAACATTCGTTACACAGTGAAAACAGAAATGATCAATATACAGTCAGATGTCAGTATTTTTTTCTAACCCTAACGAGATGAAGGTGAGGTGTGTGTAAAGCCCACAGTGGCTCCTCTAAACACTGCTGAATGTAGTTTTATGTGTGAAAGTCGTTTGTCTCGTATGAGCATCTCTCACACTTGAGCTTTAATCCGGCTAGTCTCCATGCTAGGCTAATGGCTGACGACTGCCCCAAGAGACTGGCTTTTCCTTCCTCTCTCTTTTCCCCGTAACTCATTAACTCATAACAGTCTGCTGTTGCTCCTTTGACCATATATATATATATATATATATATATAATATTTCTTAATAGTTAAACTTTGCTTCATGCCGAGGTTAACTTTAAATTCAAATTTATGAACCTCAGAAGCGTCAGTCAACAGAAAACAAAAGGGCGAGCTGTGGTGTTTATTTTTTGAACAACACTAAATGTAGAAGAGTTCCTCAGTAAATATGTTGCTGCTTATCACTCACAGATGTACAAATACAGACTAATTAACCAGCTTGCATTAACCATCACGGAATATTTGTAACCCTAAAAATGGGGCGCCCTGCCCTGGCCTGTATAATGAGTCGTAAGAAAACATGCCCCTTCACCGGCTGAATGCTGTTACAGTGAAAACAATGAACCTGTGGATCAGTATGTCCAGCTTCATCGTGCACCCCTCGCTTATGAATACAGAACTACGCCCTTGATATTTGTACATACTTATTAAGAATTATGAAGGTAAATATCTGTGTTTTTCCCTTGTGTGCTTTGGTTTTAGCTGTTATAAATCTATTACAGTTCACCTTTTACTGACGGTTAAATAATATCTGGCTTACTAGACTCTTGGATAAATATCAGCGTGATGGATTTGAGCTTAAACCTATTTGGCCTTTAGCTATTGTAATATCCCAGCTACGTTCCAGTCCGTAAACTGAGTCTCTTATATTGCACACAATGGAGGCAGTACAATGTGTTAATCTGCTGTGTTCCTCTGTTTGCAGCTGGTACGGAGGAGTACGAGGATCTGGTGGCTGCTCTGGAGTGCATTAAGGAGACCATATCTCAGGTGGATGAGCAGGTGCACCAATACGAGAAGCTCCGTGAGCTTGTCTTCCGTCTGGACCCCAAAACGCAGGCCAGGATGGGGAACGGTCAGGTTATACGCAGAGAGGACCTGATTCAGCACGGCAGGAGCGTGCTGCGCGAAGGCCTGCTGAGCTGGAGGGCATCAAACAGGGCCAAAGGTGAAGAACATTAACATTTAAGGCATTAAACAATGTGTAAACAAAGGGGTGTGGCTGGAGTGGACTCAACAGTGGCAAGTTTCTGCATCCTTAGGCCTTTTTTCCACCTTAAATTAATAAAAGTGGCCAACGAAGCCTTCTATTCAGCATCTGCTGTCACCATGGCAACGTTCATATGGCTACACACTGCCATCGTTCACCCAGAATCACTGTTATACACCAGTTGGCAGATTGTAGGAATTTAGCTGGGCTGATTGAGCTGCTATCACAGGCTGCTGTGTACATAACTAGGTAAGCAGTAAGACTGACTGTGTAAAGAAAAGTTTCCTAGTGCTGTAAAAGGCAGAACTCCAGCTCGTTGGCCTTTACACGCTGTGGTAGGGCAGCTGTTATAGTGACTAGGCGGTTAAATTTGACATCAGCAGTTGTGTGTTATGTTTACAATTTTTTTTTCCCTTCTGGTTGTGAAGTAGCAGTGGCCGAAATGCCGGTTCATCCGGTTTAAATCCTTCTTGAGGTTTTAGTTTTGTCATTATTGTTATACCAGTATGTACAAACAGGTCCGAACACGCTGAGTCCCTCGCCTCTCGTGTACTGAGCTGCAGCCTGAAGTCAGTTATTCCCGTTTACTGTCAAAGGAGCGACATCAGACTGTAATGAGTTAAAAAAGAGAGAGGAAAGGGAGGGGAAAAGAGAGCGGAAGGAAAAGCCAGTCTCTTGGGGTTAGCTGTTAACCATTAGCCTAGCATGGAGACTAGCAGGCTCTCCGTGTGCTCCGCCTACGGCGCTCCTCGCTCAGCTGGCTACTTCAGGTGACGCCGCGGTCTTGGCCTAGAAGCTGAGAGGCTCCGTAGCTTCTCAGCTAAAACTGATCGAGTAAACAGCTGTAATATTTACTACATTCCAGCAGCGTCTGATGCTCAGACAAATGACCAGCATGAAATACAGGAGGTCCTGGGGGTCTGGAACCTCCTACTTACCCTTATGAACCTTATTTATCGCCTCTCATATCGTCATTGTGATATCAGACAGCTTTATCGAGCAGCGTCGGTATCGTGCGGCCCTACTGTGTACGTATAAGAGCACAAACGGCTCCAGTCCAGCTATGTGTCGGGTGAAAACAGTGAGTTTTGGGGTTTGAGGGCTTATTTATAGCTGAATATGTGCGTCTTGACAGTAAAACAGTGTGTGATTCTCTCTGTTTACACAATCTGCTAAGATTTTATGAGACGTGAAGCATAAACTCAGACTGACACTCTTTACTGCCAGTATTTACATTTACATTCATGGCATTTGGCAGACGCTCTTATCCAGAGCGACTTACAGTTTGATCATTTTACACAGGTAGGTGAAGGCAGTGTTAGGAGTCTTGCCCAAGGACTCTTATTGGTATAGTGTAGGGTATTAATCCAGGTGGGGATTGAACCCCAATCTACAGTGAAGAAGGCAGAGGTGATACCCACTACACCACACTTATACCAGTATAATTTTGGATGTATGTATACCTTTCTGTAAGAAAATGTACCTCTGAGGCAATTTATTATTAATTTAGTTGGGAAAAAAATATTCACCCCTCATATGGCCAGGAGCTCCCACTTCAGATTTTGGACCTCTTCTGTTGGTCCACTTGTCATGAAATGTCCTCTCAGGTTTTCTACGAAGGACAACACCACAAAGTCTAGCATGTGTACATATAACCCACTTTCACATTCACTAAATGTGTATCGTTCACTCGGATGGTTAATAATGTGCGGTTTCTCTCTCAGTTTCAGATGTTCTTGTGGTGCTGCTGTCAGATTCGCTGCTGCTGCTACAGGAGAAAGACCAGAAACTGATTTTTGCCTCTCTGGTGAGCGCAGACTCTTCTCGTTATAACTCCTGATCTGAAAGATCATTTAAAGCATTTAGCAGACACTCTTATTCAGAGTGACTTACAAAAGTGCTTTGAGGTCCACTCAGAGAAATGTATCCTAGCTTCTACGTTAAGGTTGGAGTCCAAACTACCCTTCAGCTCAAACGCTACCAGAAAACAAAAGTCAGAGCTGATATGTAGATCAGAATGAAGACATAGAAGAATGCAATACAAGACATTTCAATACATGCTAGATTAGTGTTTGAGTGCTTCATAAACAGATGGTCTTCTGTTGGCGTTTGAAAACCGCTGTTGAGAGAGCCGGTGGTAGCTCGTTCCACCTGAGCTCCGGGCCAGAGATGAGTCTCAGTGCACGTCCTGGGTGCGTCTTGAAGCATGATGGGTCGAGCTGAGCTTGATGCTCAGAGGCCTTGAGGGTTTGACCTTTGCCATAATGTAGGGAGGGGCTGGTCCAGTTTTGCTTTGTAGGCATCAGGGTTTTAAATCTGATGCAGCTACAGAAAGCCAGAGAAGCAAACGCAGCAGTGCAGTGACATGTTTGAAATTGAAGACAAGCCATTCTGCTGCATTCTGGAGCAGCTGAAGGGCGTGATGGCCCGCATAGGAAGACCAGCCATTAGTGAGTAGTCAAGCCTTGAGATGATGAGATACTGAACAGGTATCTGGATGTTCCTTCCAAAAAAATAAAACAACGTTGAGAATGAGCACTAAAGGAGTAGCAGGTCAAAAAACCCCTACACTATTAGAATTAAAGGTACATTTTTCATTCTTCAACGTACAAACAGTGTAAATGTTCCCTCAAAGCTCCAACAGTGGTTTTAAGGTCTGATTGTGAACCTTAAATAAGTTTCTCCAGGTGAAAAGTTCGTATTTGTACCTTTTCATAACCGAATGTTTTAAACAGAACAGTAAAATAAAAGCCTGGAGGCGAGACGGGGTGTGTGGAGTCAGTACAGCTTAGAACATATCATTTCAGTGGATTATGGTTCAGTTATGTTCCCTGACTAAAGGTACTGAGATGGAGCCTTGAGGGTTCCACCCCAGTGACGAGAGGGGAACCACCCCAGAGACAGTTCAGTACCTTTATTTCTGAGAGTGTAGTCTCTGTTCTTCCTTTTTTGGATCCAAAAATCAAGTCATATCAAGTCAGTTTATTTAAATGTTGCTTTTACAACAGACTTTGTCACAAAGCAGCTTTACAGAAAAATTCAGTGACAAGGAAAAACATCTTCAGAGCAAAAGGGAGAAACCTTGAGAGGAACCAAGACTCAGAAGGGGAACCCGTCCTCACCTGGTCCACACCAGATAGCAAAACAACACAAGAGAAATATGAATTATGCAAGATAAAATGCCAAGGCTCCCAAGTGAGAGCTGTAATAGAGTAAAGCAGTCCAGGAGCTGAACCAGCACAACTGAATTAAAATTAAACCCCAAACAGGAATAATGTGGAAGTAAATTATTCATTAATATACTTCAGAAGAATCTTACACGTGATATTAGTATTATTTAAAAATAACAAATTGATCAACATTGGCCCGCAGAGCTGAGTTAATAAAGCGCGTTATGATCCACGTCTGAATGTGCGTGACCGTGCTGGAGTGTAATGCGTGCTGTTTGTGCAGGATGGAAAGCCTGCAGTTCTCTCTCTGCAGAGGCTGATCGTGAGGGAGTCGGCTCAGAGCGAGAAGATGATGTATCTGATCTCCACGTCCGACGAAAAAGCCGACATGTACGAGTTCCACGCCTTGTCTGAAGTAGAGCGCAAAAGCTGGAAAGACCAGATCTGGCAGGCCATCGAGTGGTGAGTGAATGGGTGGAAGCAAAAGTCTGAAACGAGCCGGCCTGTTTCAGAGCTGATTACCTGTAATCTGTTCACTGTCCGCCTGATGAGTACCTGTATGAAATGTCTAGTTCCACTGTGGAGGATGTGAAAACAAATCTGAACAAATGATGTTCATTGAGGATTTACTGTGAGGGGAAACACGTATTCAGACACTTTTTGTTATGTAATACATTTCCAGTGTTTATCACTGTTGTCAGAGCAAAACCCCATATCTGCAAAATGACAACTTCACAGGAGAAGGAAAAACATACTTAATTTTTAATGTAAGTCAATGGAACCAGACCTTTTTCCAGATAATCGTGTCCCATTTCCTTTGGTCTGTTCATCATAAAGTTCACACACAATGTAAAGGACAGTAGCAAATTTCAAATTGTCAAAAAATGACAAAAATGTATTCCTAGCCAAAAAACAAAGTTGATTGGGAACAAACATTCAGACACAACAAGTTAAGATTATTACTGTGTTGCAAAGCCTTGGTGGGCAGTTACAGCTTTGAAACGTCATGGTACAGCATTGTGGTTCAGTTTTGGCCGGTTCCACTTGGCAAACCATCTTCAGTTCTCAAGATTCCGAGGGCCCCACTTATGGACATTAATCCTTGATTAAATTTTAATGGTGTTCAGATCAGGAGGTTGGCTTGGTCAAGCAAACACCTTCACTTTCTTTAGAAACCAGTCTTGAGTTGTTCTAGTTGTGTGTTTGGGGTCGTTATCTTGTTGAAACGTCTCTTCAGATTTGGTTTCTTGGTTGATGAGAGAGAATTTTTCTCAGTTCAACCCGTTTCCATGATGGTATGTAATGATCCAGAATGTTCACAGAGAAGCAGCTCCATATTATGATGCTGCCACCTTCATACTTCACTGTGGACATTCTTGGGTTCATACGATCTGAATTATTGCCAGAGAGTTCTATTTTAGTTTCATCTCAATGGAGAACATTTGTTTCAAAAGAGTTCTGATTCTAAACAGCTGGACTCTACGACCTCGTAGAGGTGGAGTCTACAACCGAGTAGAGGCGAACTCCACCCCCAGGTAGAGGTGCACTTTTCCCCCGATTAAATGCAGACTCTACCCCCTAGACTGAGAATCCTGGCCATTTCAAACAGCTTGGTTAATGAACCATAAAGGCGGACTCTACCCCCAGGTAGAGCTGGACTCTACCCCCAGGTAGAGCTGGACTCTACAACCAAGTAGAGCTGGACTCTAGAACAGAGTAGAGGAGGACTCTATAAGACAGGTCACTGTTCGATCTGCCACTCTTTGACCGTCATTATCCGGCCATTTCAAACAGCTTGGTTAATCAACCATAAAGGCGGACTCCACCCCCTAGTAGAGGGGAAGTGGAAAGCTGAGTGGAGGCAGGCTCTACACCTGAGTACAGGGGGACTCTACACCCGAGTAGAGGCGAAGTCTAAAACCAAGTGGAGCTGGACTCTACCACCGACTAGAGCTGGACTCTACATCTGAGTGAAGGCGGACTCTACCACCAAATAAAGCTGGGCTCTACCACTGAGTAGACCTGGGCTCTACAACAATGTAGAGGTGAAGTCTAAAACCAAGTACAGCTGGGCTCTACAACAGAGTATAGCTGGACTCTACAATGATGTAGTGCTGGACTCTAGAACCTAATAGAGCCCTATGACCAAGTAGAGGCGCACTCTGCAACAGAGTAGAGGCGCACTCTGCAACAGAGTAGAGGCAGAGTCTACCCCTGAGTAGAGGCAGAGTCTACCCCTGAGTAGAGGCAGAGTCTACCCCTGAGTAGAGGCAGAGTCTGCCCCTGAGTAGAGGCAGAGTCTACCCCTAGTAGAGTTGGACACTATCACTGTTTGATCTGCCACTCTTTGCCCGTCATTATTGTGCTCAGCTGAGAAATCTGGCCATTTCAAACAGCTTGGTTAATGAATCATCCAAAGTATGTGAACCAAACCAGTTTTTAATCTCTAACCTTCCTTATCTTTAATCTGAGACAAATCTATGATGGCACACCTGGGCGTTGTGTAAAGCTGAGAACTAAGAAGCTCTTTCTTTACCATGACTGCTACTTGTTGCCTGGATTCACGGCAACCAAATGAAACGCTTTATCTAATGAATCCAGCTGCAGTTTGCGTGAGACTGTTTTTTTAATATTTGCAGCATTAATATGCAGATCTTGTTTTATTTTTATTTTAACCCTTACATGGATGTACATTTCAGTGTAATGTCTAAATACTTGTACAAAAGTACAAAGTCAGATGTGTAAATTAAATAAGAAAAACAGAAGTCTGAGTACGTGTCTCCCCTCACTGGAACTGTTTAAAGTATTTAATGCTCGGGTTGTTGGTTTATTGCTGGAATGGTTTTAAAACCTGATGTATTGTTATAATAACTGCAACAGTAGTAGTTAAATGTTGTATCATTAGGATATTTTAACTATAATCATTAAAATTACTGTTATAATAACTGTAATAACCATAAGAGTTTTAGTAACAATAACAGATTGTATGATCTATGTCAGGGGTGTCAAACTCAACCACTAAAAGGGCCATATTAAAAAATATCAACAAATCTGTGGGCCAGCAAAAATTAGGCACTGAATACTTGAACGATCCAAAACTAATTTTAAATAAAACCAAATTGTTTTCTATAAAACAGTAGACCACATTAGCTGCACTGAACCTCTGTAAATGTCCCCAATGTACCGTAGGGTTTTTTTAAAACTGCACATTTGCTTAAACTAGACACCTGGCATCTTTTATTTATTTATTTGTTTGTTTGTTTTTGTGGTGCTGTCCCATGGATCGTTGTTGGGAGGGGATGAGAGCACACAGTACATTGCAGTGCATGCTGGGAACTGTAGTGCAGCTCATGGTGAAATGGACTAATATTAATAGAAAATTGAAATAATTTGTGGGCTGAATACGATTGTGTCTGACTCGGCCTGTGGGCCTTGTGTTTGACACGTGGGATCTGTGTGGTATAACCGTGTTTAATGTATGTAATATATGTAATGTGCTCCCTCCTGTCCTGCAGGTTTTCGCTTGTGGCTGAGGAGGATGACGCCGATGGTGTGGATCAGGAGGATGGTTACTCAGAGAAGCTCCAGGTCTATCATGGTAATGAGCGCTAGGAGAGGGAGCGGCTGATTGGGCCATAGATTTAGTGCAGTGCCGTACAAAACCAGCAAATAATGATGATCAGGCTGTGAAGTGTTGGTTTAGTCTGAATGATCATAACTAGAACACCTTTATCATCCATTTGTCTTTGGAGCTGGCATAAAAAAAATAAAATGCCTTGCAAAATGACAGAAAAATGATATTTTTTTCACGATATTTGAGTAATAATAATAATAATAATGTTGTTTAGTTCAGTATTTTGTTCTTGTCATTTCTTTTGTAAGAAAAGGCCTCAGATTTCTGTATAATAAAGAAAATCACTTGGTGCAGGTGCTTCTTCAAGGGTTCTATAGTAAAGAAAGTGGTTCTATATGGAACCATGAACACCCAAAGAACCATTTGCATGCTTGAAGTGTTCTCTGCGTGGTGAAATGGTTCTTCAGATTGATGGAGAATGTGCTGTATATGGTTCTATATAGCACCGAAAAGGATTACAAGCTTGACATCATAACTTTTAAAAGAACCCTTTTTGGTGCTACATAGAACCATTTTCAAATAGGTTCTGTATTTTAAGAGTGTAGAGGCTGATGGTGGTGCGCGTGTGTGTGTGCGCATCTGTGTGTGTATGTGTGTGTGTGTGTGTGTGTGCCTGTATGTGTGCCTGTGTGTGTGTGTGTGCCTGTGTGTGTGCCTGTGTGTGCCTGTGTGTGTGTGTGTGTGTGTGTGTCTGCGTGTGTCTGTGTATGTGTGCCTGTGTGTGCACGTGTGTGTGTGTCTGTGTGTGTCTGTGTCTGTGTGTGTCTGTGTGTGTGTCTGTGTGTGTGCCTGTGTGTGTGTCTGTGTGTGTGTGTGCGCGTGTGCCTGTGTGTGCGCGCGCGTGTGTGTGTGCCTGTATGTGTGCCTGTGTGTGTGTGTGCCTGTATGTGTGCCTGTATGTGTGCCTGTATGTGTGCCTGTGTGTGTGTGTGTGTGTGTCTGCGTGTGTCTGTGTGTGCCTGTATGTGTGCCTGTGTGTGCGCGCGCGTGTGTGTGTGTGTGTGCGCGCGCGCGTGTGTGTGCTTGTGCCTGTCTGTGTGTGTGTCTGTGTGTGTGTGTGCTTGTGCCTGTCTGTGTGTGTGTCTGTGTGTGTGTCTGTGTGTGTGTGCGCGCGTGTGCCTGTGTGTGCGCGCGCGTGTGTGTGTGTGTGCGCGCGCGTGTGTGTGTGTGTGCGCGCGCGTGTGTGTGTGTGTGCCTGTGCCTGTCTGTGTGTGTGAGCAGGTGAGCTGTGTGTGAAGGATGCCCAGATTGCAGAGCTGCTGCAGCAGAAGCTGAAACTCTTCAGTGAATTCGCGGAGGTGACGGACGGTTCAGCTCTGCCCAAACGCCTGCTGCTGACCGGCAGCACCACTCAGCTCCAGCAGGGGGAGCAGCTGCTCCTCAGCGCTATTGCAGATGGTAAGACACACAAACACTGAGCTCATGCTGAATCAGCAGTTTTGGACATGCTGAGATGACAGCCTGCTGTTATACTGTGTACATAAAAACACTTTAACCCCCTAAACTACACTTATTATACAGTTATTAATCTTATTATTCAGTTACGACCTATGAATTATTCAGCATCTGCTATGAATTATTCAGCATCTGCTATGAATTATTCAGTACCTATAGTATCTCCTATGAATTGTTCAACGAATGTACAATGAATAATTTAGTAATTAGTATGATTAATTATCATTACCTATAGTATCTATTGTGAATTAATAATTACTATGTATTGTTCAGGGTGTAATATGAATTATTCAGTGTCTACTATAAATCCTATATAGTCAAGTTATGTAAATTCATCTATATCCTTTTTTGATTGATTACTGATCAGTAGGCTGTATGTGAGTAATACAGTTCTGTCTCTGCCTGTCCTCAGCGGAGGGGTTACAGAACCTGCTGCTGGCCAGTGAGAGTGACTTTCCATCTGTAGACATGAGGCTGCCGTCCAGATCAAACACCATCGCAGGCTTCACTAAAAGTAAGACCTGCGTCATGAAGGACAGAGTGTTGTTGAGGTCAAACACCACTTTTATGATGCACTAAAACTATTTTGAGTGCTATTAACGCCCCCTTGTGGAGAGCTTTCAGCCTGCTAATCCTGACTGAGAGAGTCCTAAAGGATAAATATTACAGTATTATTGACCCGTATCATATAGGATTAAACTGAACTGAGCTGAATGTACTTTCTTGTTCCCGGGTTGGCTGTTGCAGGTGGTGGTGGGTATCAGGACGGTTTTAGGAACAGGAACCAGAGACCCAACTCTGATCCACACCTCAGGGAGCTCTACCTCGACAGCCTGGAGCTGTCTGTGAGTAACACTCTTCTCCCCGTCTCTGTTTTTCGCCTGTTGTTCTTCTCCGCTGTAGCAGCTAAAGGCCTCAGCGTACTTCTTGTGTAAGTGACGTTCGCCTGAACAAAATGACGCGGTTACAAATTACTCGGTGGCAGTCGTGCACTGGAGGTTAGGGAACCAGCCCTGTGACCGGAAGGTTGCGGGTTTGATCCCCTGAGCCGGCTGTACGTGACTGAAGTGCCCTTGAGCAAGACACCTAACCCCCAACTGCTCCCTGGTGCCGTGGATAGGGCTGCCCACCGCTCCGGGCAAGTGTGCTCACTGCCCCCTAGTGTGTGTGTTCACTAGTGTGTATGTGGTGTTTCACTGCACGGACGGGTTAAATGCGGAGGTGAAATTTCCCCACGGTGGGACTGATAAAGGGTAACAGCTTCTTGTTCAAATTCTCCTGTTCTACCTTAAATAGAGGCAGCATTCTGGACTCACATCGTCATGATTAGTGCTGTGATAGAATCATTTCCCAGCAGGCATTAGTGGAGCATCCGCGACAGACAAACGAAACCACAAAACGTATGCAAGCTTATAAACTTACAAAGGCACTTTCAGCTTCGCGCAACCCTCGAGAATTTTGTTTCATAAGAAGTTTGCTGAGCTCTAATCCTCAGCCCGTTTTCTCTCTGGCTGTTAGGCTGATGGTGAGTTATGGAGTTCTCCTCAACAAGCCCACCTCTCCAGACACCAGGTGAGAAGAGACTTCCTCCCTGTAATGCCCAGTGCCACGGAGAACTCTGATCTTCTAGTGTTCTGATCTCTAACATGTCTACTTTTCCCACAGCTCGCTGAAAGGGTGGCGAGACTGACGCAGAAGCTCTACAGCCTTCAGGTAATGCAGACATGAAGCCTGGATTTGTAGTAATGCTGTTCTGACCATAGTTCTCTCCTGAATGTGGGACTCTATTTGGGTCGACCTCTGGAGACGCTGTGAATCTGCTGAGCTTCAGTTTATTACCGGACTCACGGTTGATTATCGACACTGAGCTGAAGGCAGAACAGTGCATATATATACTGTAGTTTCAGGAAAAGTTAGTGAGTGAGGACGCACCGACCCGACTTTTTCTCTCCCAGCACCAGAACGCAGGATATTGGATTATACTGGGCGCCAATATTTTCTTCTTCAATTTATTATCTATATACCTCACATGATGTGCTGGTACAATTGAAGAGTTCATTCCAAAACATTCTATTTTAAGACATTTTGGTAATTAAGATGGACAGATATTTCAAATTCAGCCATGTTCTTCTTATTTCTGGCTGATTTCTAGCTACATTAAATTAAAAGCAAATGTAAAAGTCAGAAATAGGTATTTAAAGTAGCTGCACAGGTTTTCACTCTGATGAGCTGTCACAGCTTTTATTTTGACACACTGCAGCGCTTCGTGGTGAAACCTCATCGGTGGATGTGTGTATCAAATAATTATTTATTTATGTAGTAAGTGTGACAAGTGTGGGTCAGTTCTGAATTGTGATTGCGCCCTCTGAGTACTGAGGATGTGGACAGTATGGTCAGAAAAGCATGTTGTGATGTGATGAAGTTTATGACGATTGTTCTGCAGGGTTGCAGCTGGACACTGTTAGGACTGAGGGTCAGGATAGGGTCAAAATTAATGATAAAAATGTAGAGATAAAGAAAAGTAATGTTGAATTTAATAGATATTTAATAGAATGCAATAGCATTCTATATTTAATAGCATCTGCAAAACACCCACAGAGGTCAGTCCAAACATGTTACCATGACGTTACATGTGCATGGCGTACTGATGGGCACTGACCCAGGACGATCCCACTCTCAGCAGACTCACCCTGTAATGCTGGTAGTGCTTTTCATTGCTGTGTTCACCTCCTCAGGCCGTGGTGGCTCAGCAGGACAGCGAAGTGGAGCTGAACCGTGCTGCGCTGGCCGAGCGTCCGACTCGTTACCGCGTTAACGGTCTACTGCTGCAGGAGAAGCAGCGCCACCTGGAGAAGCAGCGCGAGGAGCTACAGCAGCTGCAGAGGGTCTACAACCAGCAGAAGCAGGAGCAGGATCAGTGGGAGCAGGAGCACCAGCGCCACCTGCAGGAGAGGGAGGTGCTGTCGCAGGAGCTCAAGCAGAGGCAGGAGGAGTGCCAGCGGGAGGAGGCGCGATTGGCTGCCGAGCGCGATACCTTGGCCCGCAGCAGGGATGAGTACCAGCAGGACCTGGAGCGGCTCCGGGACGCTCACCGCGATGTGGAGAAGAAGAGAGAAGAGCTGGAGCAGAAGGAGCAGAAGGGGCAGCAGCTGAACAAGTACAAAAAAACGAACAACAGAGCCTCCTTCTACCAGAGCCCCACTCAGGTACAGACTCCCAGGGGTCAGAGAGGGGAGGGCAGAGTAGGGTACATTCTTACGTATCGTTTCACACTGTGCATTTCCTGTTTTCAGAATTTTCCCCACCAGCGTGTCCCTGTGTCCTCGGTGGACGACATGTACCTCATCCCTAAACATTACGTCGGTCCCACCCGGCCCCTGACCAGCTTAGATGAGCGCCCCCCGCAGGTGCCCCCTCGCAAAGAGAGCATCGCCATCTCCCCGGTCAAAAAGGACGTTCCCATCCAGCTGGTCAGCACCACCAACCAGGCGCTCAAACCCGGCTCAGTCCAGCAGCAGATCCCCACCAAACTGGCCATGAGTAAGGGCAAGGATAAAGAGAAGGGCAAGAGCAAGAACACCCACCATCGCACCAACAGTGCAGGTCAGACGCCTCAACACACAGCTGCGTTATACTAACAGAAGATCTTACTTTATTAAAAAAGCAGCTGAAAATCAAATATTACTCTTTGAGGAAGGAAGGCAGGGTGTCCCCAAACTTTTGACTGGTTGTGGTAAATGTAGTTTGATCTGTGGTGTTTCAGCGTCTATAGAAGTGTCTGCTGTGGTTCCCATTAAAGGAAAAGAGGGAGGCAGCATGAGAGAAACACGGTCCCCCTCCCGCCAACCGCTCACTACAGGTAAATCAGGTTTACCTCCAGTTTATTTACAGGAACATTTACATTCCCAGTAAACAGTGATCTGTAAACATGTTTCTACTGCTGGTCTTCACTCGCTGTCGACCTAAAAACACTATTTGATGAAAAATCAAATTCAAGCTTTGAATCTTTAACTTGTATGTAGTTGATCAGCCATAAAATGGACAAAAGATGATCAAATTTGGCTGCTACCCATGTTTAAGCTAGCTTTTCTAGATAAGTGCATCAGGTCTCTTAGCGATTTACTGAACTGCATGAGCCTGACGGACCCTTTTTCAAAGTGCGCCCCCTTTTTAGGAAATATGTTGCGACCACCTTCCACCACCCCAACACTGCAGGTTGGCCCACACACACCAGTGTGCGCAATATAGAAATTACAGAAGAATAATCAAGTAGTAAGGCCCAGTCCCATTTCTCATTTTTACCCCTACCCCCTGTTTTTGAGTGTTGCCCCTTGGAGCTGAGTTACAGGGTAGTGGTTGAACTCTTCCCTCTGAAATGGGACCCTCAAATAAAAAGAGCATCACTTCATTAACAGCTACCAGCGCTGCTCTGTAGGCGACCCTGCCAGTCTGCAGTGACAGCAGAGGAGGGTAAAGTTCAGCTCCTCACTGCTGGGCTTTAGTTACATTTAGGGATCATATGATCTTCAAAGAGGGGGGCAATTGTTTATTATCACCCCTAATTCTTCAGTGATATGAAGCTGAAGTCAGATATTCACCAGATTCGAATTTTCCCGTTCCACCTTAAATGGAGCAGCAGTTCTGACATCTGAGGCGCCAGAATGTAACTGCTGCACCATTTAAGGTGGAACAGGAAATTTAGCTACTGAGACGTCAGAACTACTAGAGATTATTATGCTTGTTATGAAGAAAAGGACCAAAATACACTGAAACGATATTAAAGTAAGAGAATACAGTGGATACTGTAATTTAACAGAGAAAATTCTCATATTTGTGGGTTTCTTTGGTCTCTTGTTCTCCATCTTTGCCGGTTTTTCTTTTTTTCTCATAATTCTCTGTTTGGAGTCTCTGAAAAACCTCAGTTTGGAGGGTCATGTAGCCCCAACACTTCACCCCACCCCTCTATCTCAGCAACAATCAGGACCCCCTACCCCTAGACGAGAACACGCTAAACAGAGGGTTAGGGCTGAGTGGTGGGGGCGAGGGGTGAAATGGGACTGGGCCTAAATATTTTTTTCTGTAAAAGCCATAGAACTGTCCGTTTTCCTCCTCAGATATGTACACCCCTCCAGAGCAGGTCTTGAACACGAAGCCCCCGTTACACTCAGCCAAGACTCACAGCAGCCGAAAGCAGAGCCACGCCTCCGCTGCAAACCGGCCGGCCAGTCACAAAGTGAAGGACAACGGCAACAAGGATGACATCTTCTACCTCTGATCCTCTGCTGCAGCGCTAAGACTGCACCACACGTCCTCTGCTCAGCGGAACAGGCAGGAAAAGAAGAAGAGAGATTTTTAGTGTTTTTACAGACTGATTTTAATCTGCTCTGTTGAACTCCTGGAGTCCAGTGCAGACGGACTGTGGACGCCTTTAATCTCCTCAGAGAAGGAGTTTCTGCTGTTTCTCAAAGGCTCAGTTACAGCTTAGCTTGACCAGCTGTGTTATTTATAATAGTAAAAAAAACAACGTACAGTTAGTTACACGATTCATCTTGATCCAAAAGCAATAATCATCTGTCCAGCTTCGGATTTCTGTCCAATCAGAGTGCCATTCTTGTACATAGCTGTATAGTTTGTGAATAGTGTCATTGTATTCAGGAACACGTCGCTGAGAAACGGTGTTCCTTAGTAAGAGTTAATGAAAGTGAATTGGAGGTTTTTAGGTGACGTTTTACTCTCTTATCAGGGAAAGTTCACTGCCTTGCTTTGAAATTCTGATCTTCTGAAGCAAACGTGCTGTTTGAAGTTTGTACATTTTGCTGAGATTATGTAAATGAAGACTCGCTGTCAGAAGAGAATGTTGGTTTCTTTGGGTGAATGAAGAAAAACTGCTGCTTCGCTCTGCAACTCTGTGATAAGCGGCTCTTTTCAGGACTTTTTTAGATTATTTTAATCACTGATCTTTCTGATCTGATTGAAGTCCTTCAGTTTTGTACAGGAATGTCTTTTTTTTCAATTCTGTGGAAAAAAAAATGACCCTCGATGGTGAAAACCATAAACCACAGCCCTGCTTGTGATTCTGTGGTCAGGAATTAAAAAGGGAGAAATCATAAATCATTCATGTGCACTTCTGTCTCTGCAGCTTAAAAACAGCAGAACTGTCTTTTATAGAGGAACAAAACCTTGTATCTCCAAAATGGTAACTTCACAGAAGGAAAAACATACTTTACTTTCAAAGGAACCAGACTTTTTTTTATTATTTTTCTATTTTATATAAACACAAAACTATTTTGTTATTAAACTACTTAAGATACTCAAATCAGAAGACGCTGTTGGTATTTGCAAACATCTAAAAAGATGTTTGCTTTCAGACCAAGCTTTTTTAGAAAGCCTTTAAGTCTCATAAAAAAGAGCACTATAATAATAATAATAATAATAATAATAATAAATAATAATAATAATAATAATTTTATATAGCACCTTTCATACATAAAAACGCAGCTTAATGTGCTTCACAATGCAATCAAATAAAACATCAAAATCATGTATGTAAATAGCAAAATGAACAATTTAAAAGTGCTACTATTTAATAAAAATAGTAATAATGATCCAAAAGAAATACGAACAATTCAACACTGAAAAGTAAAGAAAACAGCCTCAGTACTGTGTCTTCAGGGTGGAACTCAGAGAGGCTCTCTTACCCACTGTTTTTGGGCATGTTGTAATTGGTGGAGCACAAGAACCGGAACATCTTTGATACGAAGTTGAATCAGATCCGTTATCTGTGATTCTGGGTGATCCCAGTAAGAAACTAACTTCACTTTGAATGAAGGTTATTCATCATACGTACCTTTGCAGCAGCGAAGAACATTCTACCACAGTGGATCACCGAGGAGAGTCCTACTGGGAGTGGTTGGCATTCGATACCAAGAGAATTAATTCCACTGGAGTCTTTAATCTGTGCACTGCATCCTAATACAGACCACAAGGTTTGGGGGCCATTGTTTTGTTGTTTTCCAGTTTTTGACATAGGTTGAAAATTTGCCTGTTGTTCTTTACATTGTGTGTAAACTTCATGATGAATGGACCAAAAGAAACGACCCAAAAACTCTGGTTCCATTGACTTCCATTAAAGGTAAAGTAGGTTTTTTCCTTCTCCTGTAAAGTTACCATTTTGGAGATACAAGGTTTTGTTCCGACAACAGCGAAATATAAGATTTATATGTATAAATGATTGGATTACATTAAGAACTTATACATGCAATGATTCAGCAAATCTTTTCCATATTGAACATACAAACATGCATGACAGTAAACAGACAAACAGACCATCAAATAACTTACTAACACTGGGCCTCGTGCTCCAGTCTCTTCCTCTGTCTGTTCTTAAATGTGTTCCTGATAAAGATCCGAAGAGAAAGTCTGCGTCAGATTCATGTCGTGTTCTTAAAGCGCAGCACTGTTCTCACCTTTGTGCTCTTGAGTGTGTAGGTTGGTGTGTAGAACACTGGTGAATGTCAGAGCCTTGTCAAAACTGCGTAATGATAAATATCAAATCTGTTTCTGAAGATAAAAATTCAGTTTCATCTTTGTGTCTCTACTCCTTTAAAGAGAGACGAGCAGAGGAAGCAGCTGCTCTCCATAAAGTCTCTGGTTCCTCTCAGACAGCAAACTGTACACTGATTTGTGGCCTAAAGCATGTTTTTAAGCGTATGCAGGGTGGAGGGATACATGCAGGGCGTTGTGAGGCGAAATAGTCCCCAAAGCAACAGGGACAAACAAACGGGCCTACAGCTCTGGACCAAAGCTGAACTTCTTAAGACTGTCCATTAAGACTGATCTATAACATTTACTCAACGTTTAAAGGGAAACTCCACCCAAATTCCTATATGATTAAATGGTTAAGATGTAAACAGAGTCATTCAGAGTCGTTCTGTTTGGTTCTAGATAAACGTACAGAGTCAGAACTGCTCACAGTGGTGGTGATAGGAACCAGACGTCCACCTCTAAAAGCTCCCTCACAGAAAGTTCCTACATGAAATGGTTATGAATTCACTGCCTGATGACTGAGACACTGTTTTATGATAGTTTAGAGAACTTAAACTCCATTCATGGTGGAGGGATACATGCAGGGCGCTGTGAGGCAAAATAGTCCCCAAAGAAAACTTATTATTTCAGATTTTCCACTATTTTCCATCATCAACATTCCATATAAACTCAGAAGACTCGTGTAGGTTCACTGGTGGTTCTGGATAGTAAATAAAATGTCTATATTTGTGCTGTTGTCATGGCGACCCCTGGTTCCTATCACCAACCATTTCTGATGGTGCACTGAATGAATGCGCTGGCTGACTGCGGTCAGTTCTGGAGCAGACAGAGAGAAGCAGAGGGGCCGTCCTGAATGCATTGTTCCTTTATTGTGTGCAATCTTTAAACACGTCTCTACAGCCGCTCTGTAACAGTGAAACACGTCAGACGCCAGTCGTACAAAAACCTGTGCAAACGTGGCTCTTCACTGGCTAAAATCTTTAACATAATAAAGAAAACCCATAAAGATATGACCCAGAATTCAGCAAGATCAGCGAATGATCAGAAAGTCCAGACACGGTTCATCAGTTTAACTCCACAACATCGCGACCCACTGACCGATACTGGGCATTTACAGCACTGAGCTCTGAAATCAACACAGCGAAGTCGAAGGCATTTCTCTTAACGTTATTATTGTCTCTAAACAACGTAGTAAACAGGTCTAAAACCTGGCCTTTCCACAAAGGTCAAATAATAAAAAATACCGTAAATACAAATGACCTACTACTGAAACGATGCGCCATAAAACATGAACGTCAAAGTCTTTAAAGTCCGCTAGTGTCTTTAAAGTTTTCGCACTGCGCTTCTGTGTTTTCAGCCCGCTGAGTGTCAGATCATCTAAAATTCAGCACAGCGTCGTTTTTCAGCCAAGCTTCACATTCAGTCCATCGACACGGTTAAGGCCAGAACACAACACAGAAGGCTAACCATGCTAAACCGTGGGGCCTCAAATCAGTCTGTACCTCCAGGATACAAACCTGCGGAGGCGACACCAACTGTAAAAACCAACAGGAGAACAGCTACCAACGAATGGAAGCCCATTACCGCCAGACAGAAGAGAGAAGAGAGTCACCTCTGTGTTCTTTTTACTTGTGTCCGGCAGCAGCGTCACAACACTGACTTCACTTCTCAAAAATACTGACGGAACCTCAAACAAGGCCTAATTTTCTCAAGAACTGGAGGTAATATGTCGAAATAATGACAAGCAAGGTATTATTTTAGGATGTCATTATAACAAAACACTACTCTTTATTTTGACGGTGTAAGTCAATATTTCAAGAAGTCACTTTTTAGAGAAGTCATTATTATGAGGTACTAAGTCATTATTTCGACATAGCAATTCAAGGATTCAAGAAAATTAGTTACCATTTAGACACAGTAAGTCAACATTATTTCAAGATAGCAGTCAGCATTTTGAGAGCAAGTTGTTATTTTGATGCAAGTCAAAAAATTTGAGAAAATAAGTCATTATTTTGATGTCAATATTTTGAGAAAGTAAGTCTATTTTTTGCGTCAATATTTTGAGAAAATAAGACATTTTGATGTCAAAATTTTGAGAAAATAAGTCATTATTTTGATATAATAAGTCAATATTTTGAGAAAATGAGTTTTTATTATTTGGGGATACTACATCAAACATTTCAGATTCAGCTGCCAGAAACGGGAATAAGTGGTAGGTGATCTTTTCTCCTGTATCTGGAGGCTCTGGACTTCCACAGTAAAGCGTTTCTGAACCCAGAAGAGACGGATTGGTTCCTCGGTGTGCACTGATCAGTCGGGTGATCACTGAGTGTGTTTATCTTCACGCTAATACAGGGTCTTTATCTCTTTTCAGCATATTCCAGTGTGAACAGCAGGACTTTTTAATATCGTAATAAAGCTGGTTTCAGACCTGATGAAATCTGAGAACACACTGGAATTTTAGACCAGTAATCATGTTTCTGATTTCTGAAATCTGATATATTCTGTTCATGTGTGTGTAAACATCACAGATGTAAACAGAGCGGTTCAGAGTGGTTTGGTGTGAAACGCTCTGTTCTAGAGAACCTTACCGATTCAGAACTGTTCACAGTGGTGGTGATAGGAACCAGACGTCCACCTCTAAAAGCTCCCTCACAGAAAGTTCCTACATGAAATGGTTATGAATTCACTGCCTGATGACTGAGACACTGTTTTATGATAGTTTAGAGAACTTAAACTCCATTCATGGTGGAGGGATACATGCAGGGCGCTGTGAGGCAAAATAGTCCCCAAAGAAAACTTATTATTTCAGATTTTCCACTATTTTCCATCATCAACATTCCATATAAACTCAGAAGACTCGTGTAGGTTCACTGGTGGTTCTGGATAGTAAATAAAATGTCTATATTTGTGTTGTAGTCATGGCGACCCCTGGTTCCTATCACCACCACTGTAAAGACGTCTGAACCATTTCACACCAAACCACTCTGAATCACTCTGATTACATCTCAACCACTGAAAATTTTGAAAAAATGGTGGAATTCCCCTATAAGTATAAACATTGTGAGAACCTGTCCGAATGCTGCACACATTCTGCATGTGTCCATGCACCGGTAAAGTTCTCTGTCTCTAGTTTATTATATATTTACTGTTTTTGTTCTTGACAACATTGAATTGAATTAAATCTGAAAACATATTCATAAAGATTTCTGATCAAGACCCAGAGCCTTCCTAACTAACTAACTGTGCATGTAAACACGCTGGATGAATTTTTGCCTAAATCTGATTTTTTTGCTGCTGTCAGATTATAACATACAAGCACACATTCAGTATGAGGACCTGCTGTAAACAGTGTAGTTTTCCCACAGGATACACTGAAGCCACGAACGCAACGCAAACCAACGACACCATGATGTGAAACGTACGGACATTGTTTTTGAATACAAAGCACCTCGTGGACCAGCGGCCGTATTACAGAGACCCCTTCAGTCCAAACTTAAGATCTGACAGATTTTCACTAATTCATATTACAGAAGCTTCATTCAGGAATTTTATCTGATCTTACAGCATCTGATCTCCAGTTAGGAAATCATAACCTACTCGATCAGAGTCGACAACCAGCTGTCATGTCTGTTTCCTCGCAAGTGACCATAAACACACACA